GTGTTATTCATGGATATTATCATCTTCATTATTTTAATTTTAGAGAAATACATGAAACAGTTTCATTAAAATTTCATTAAGTAGTATATGAAACAATTTCATAACCACATATGAAACAATTTCATAACCACATATGAAACAACTTCATCAAAAAAAGTATTATATGAAACAATTTCACGAGATTAAAAATTTAATGAAAAAATTTCATAAGATTAACGATGGATGAGAGTAGTTTTTACGGTTTGTAAAAATTGGAGTGGTTTTCATTTGATTGCTCATATATATATATATATATATATATATATATATATATACCATGTTAGAGAGAGAGAGAGAGAGAAGTGAATTAACCTGTTTGAGTTTCTGTCCGGCATAGACTTCTCCGGCCAAGACTTTTTCTCCGAACAACATGACAGCTTCTTTAACCGACTTAAACGGTCGCCGCATATCGATCTCCACCCTCCCTCTCACCACCAGTTCCTCCTCCATCTCCATCTTCATCATCTCCATGGATGTTATATATGATCTTGAATGTTTCAAAAACCCTAATTCGATAAAAACCACATGCATGCACACACACACAAACACACACTTAAAGGTGTAATGAAGCTTAGGAAAGATATATAAAAGAGAGTTGAATAAAAAAGATCGATATCTTTGCGTCCACTTCACTAGAAGAATTCTGTTAATGGAGGGTGATGTTTTTAGTTTGGTGGTTGCACCATCTTATTCTTTTCTTAATCCATTCATTTCATTTCTACCATGCACCGTACCTCCTCTCTCTATACACACACACACACATATATATATATATATATTATATATATATATATACACTTCATATATATATCCTACATATACAAATTAATACTTAAAATTATATTATATACACTTTTTATGATCAAATAGTAGTATATTGGAAGTCTTTTATAGAATTAGTTGCAAATGGGATATGGGCAAATCAATTACGAGCTTTTATATATAGAATTGGTATAATGTGAGATCAAAAGTTTTTCGTGAGACCCGTAAAACTAATTCTCAACCCTTGGATTAGATCTACAATCTGAATATTCATAATCACAAAATTGCCACAAGACTTCTCAATAATTACAAAAATGTCACCATACAACTTTAGACCATTAGATCATTAGTTTATAAAGTTAATCAATGAACATAAATTGGTCTTACGGGTCTCATGGAAAACCTTTGATCTCATGTGATATATATATATATATATATATATATATATATATATATATATAGATGAGTGATCATATGAAAACCGCTCTCATTTATGTAAACCGTGCAAACCACTTTCATCTGTCGATTTCATTGTTTAATCTTATGAAATTTTTTCATGAAATTGTTTAATCTTGTGAAATTGTTTTATATAATACTTTTTTGATGAAGTTGTTTCATATATGGTTGTGAAATTATTTCATATAATTGTTTCATATAATACTTTTTTGATGAAGTTGTTTCATATATGGTTGTGAAATTATTTCATATAATACTTAATGAAACTGTTTCATGTATTTCTCTAAAATTAAAATTATGAAGATGATAATATCTATGATTAACACCCTCCACAATAAAAATGATTAATCAACCTCTCATAATTACAAAAAAATGAACAAAATGAAAAATTATGATTGGTTGAATACG